CCGCCTTTTGCATATGGTCCAAACATTTAGTAATAACTGTTCATTCAATAATAGAAGGAGAAAATGTAAGGAATCATATTTAAAAATAAAGTAACATAAAAATCAAAAATAAAAATATTAGAAGTTCGATTCCGTTTTCACTATTAATAATTAAAATCTACAAATAGCAACTCTTAATCTAAAATCTAAATTATGCAGACTATCTTTGTCGGATCAAAAAGATTTTTAATCATTAATAATTTGAAAACAAAGCTGAAATATCACTTATTTCTTGATTTTTATGTCACAATATTAAAAGAATCTATATAAGTGTTCATACAATATTAGATAAATTTTTTTTAAACAATCTTACCTTACCTGCATAACATTATTTGACCATGTACATTACGAACACATACAGATCATTCTTATGAAGGTGAACTTTTAATGCTCGTGACTCCGAAATTTTGGATCTACACACCAGCATTCTTGCCGCTTCCGAGAGTTGATATTCCTATTCCTTACATCGGTCTTGTGGGTGAAAAAGGCCGAAGACATAGCATATAAGAAATTGAAATTGTCGGAAGCGCGGCGATATTTGAAACGTCATGGTACAATTCTCTTTCTGAGAAGACTGTGCGGTTCTGGTTGCGCAGTAAAATGATGGGGATAAGCGCGCCAACTTACAACTTACAGCTTATTGATAGAGTTGTACCTACAAGTGTACGCGAGTCGGTAGTAGTAAATCTTGGCATAACAGTCTCACCCATTTGATCTATCTGGCTCTTTGTATATAAAGTTTACGTTCGAACGATCGAATATGAGAGACAGTCAAACTCCCAGTTAATCCATCAAATTCAAGGTAAGAGGGCACATTATTTTGATATTTTCTATCCAGCATTGTTTTCTTGAGCTGCAACAGCAAAAAAATCTCTGTTGAAGGAAAATGTCATTAAGCAGAGTATTAAAAACCATATCTTTCAATATTCTGACAATGAGAAGGATAGCTATATGGATAGTCATTTTAATTCAACCAGTGGCAGTGAAGAAGATAGTAAGTGTTGCATACTTTTAAATGTTAAAAAGATGCAGTACAGAAACTATATTGTTAACATATTATTTTACAGACAAAGGTACATACAATAATGTGGTTAATGAAAAAAAAACAAAGACTAAAGAAAGATTCCAAAACAGTGGAAGAATGAGCATAGATTCAGACTCTGGGAATAGTGTCAACAGTACAGTAAATTCTATTCAATTGTCCCTCAGCTTGTAAACAAAAATGGACAAGTTGGAAAGAAGGGATATGATTATTCGAGTCTGGCGACTCGGCAACTATTAAAACGATCCGCAAGGGTGTTTACAGTTGTGGAGAATTTACTGTATTTTGCATGAAAATGAATCACATGATAAGAGCATGGCAGAAGAACACAACAGTGATTCCAGTGTTCATTCATCCTATATGAAGACAGAGCATGAACCTATATCATTAAATAGTTCGTTCAATATAACTCTTCAGAAGCACGTTATAAAATTATGTATATGTGTTTCATTTTAGGCTCTTCAACAGATGAGCAGGAAATGGAATATGGAGTTGCAATATATCTAGCAAAATAAGAGATTAGGGTTGGTAATATTGATCCAATAGTTGCACAAAAGTGAGTCTTACTAGTTTATAAAATGAATCATTTACAGAAACAGCTGAGCATATCAAAAGTAAGTATGGTGATTTGTGATTTTATTATCAAAAGTAATTTCATTTCCATTTTTTTAATTATGGATTTTTAGTTGCTGCTAGTAACTGTTACTGGAAGGAAGTAGGCAATTGCGCGAAAATATTATGATACAGGAAGATAAAAAATCAAGAAAGTCGCATTAGAAATACAAAACTCGGTTCAGAATGTTAAAGTACATGAATTTGAGGAGATCAAGAAAATCCCTACTCATGCAATTTTGATCCTTCCATCGATGTGGATAAAATATCGATCAAACCAAAATCATCCCCACGAACCAAGGATTTGAGTAAAAAGGCTCAAGCGACTCTAGACAAAGAATTAGCGTCGATGGCCGACAGATTGCAAGATCTACATGGATTCCTAATGGCTAGGCCGTCCGAAGACGAAAGATCTGAAGATCTACACAGGGTTTGAAAGCCAAGTTGTTATCTCACCAGCAGCATGCATTGTTGTGGATCCTGACACGAGTAAGGGGCTGAAAGACTTGAACGACTACAGCGATAACGAATGGATACATTACAATAGACAATTGCGTCACAAGGGAGGCAGACTGGTGGCCTACCTAGCATCGTTGTTGTCGCAATGGGAGAAAGAGTTCAACCACACTTGCATGCGAGATATGCTCGCGGCTGAAGTTTACCACGGTAGCAACAGAAAGAGCGTTTCTAAAAGATTGGCAAAGAACGACGTGGTGATTATGACATTATATAACATACTGTCTTGCGATAGTATCTCTTACCGCTGGTGGCACTGGATAGATTCTCATTGCTGGAAATCATATGTTGCTACTAATAGACATCCATTAGAACCCGCAATTGGAGTTGCAGGCTTAGTATAAAATCTATCGCTTCGGACAGAAAAAGGATGTTTACATATACATGTAGCTAGCATTGTGTCCTGAGAATATGTACAACATGTACAACAATCTCAAATTTCTGATTTCTAATGAGACAACTTTCTTGTCTATAATCGTCTTTTGATAAATATTTTTGTGTAATATAAAGTTTTCTATTGCTAAGCTGTTTGAGGTTGAAAGTCTTTTATTACAAATTTCAAATACGAAAAAAGAGGGTTAACGTGAGTTTGGGAATGCTGTAGTGTTCTATGCTTCTTCGTTGACAATGTTCTCGATCAGTTTTTGGCATTACCGTTTCCACACCTTACTGTGGCGGATACCGTAGCACCGAAGTCCTACGAGAAGAAGCAGAGGATCGATCGCAATTGATTCCCAAAACCTGAACCAATCCTCATTCTTCCTCTGTTTTGATACCGTTTTTGAATTTTTGTCTTTTTTTCATTAACTGTATTATTTTATTCAACTTTGTAAAATCATATGTTTACAATATAGTTTTTATACTGTACCTTTTTGGTATTTAAAAGTATGTAACACCTGCCCATCTTCTTCGCTGCCACTGTTTTCATTAAAAAAAACTCACTTTTATTATGTCACATTCATAATTAAATAGTTTTTACATTTAACATATATTTTATTATTTCCATAAGACTTATAAAATATCGTCAGCGATATTTAAACGAAATGTGTACGCATGCGCATTTAAATAAAGTTCTGAGGCTACGTTCGCAAGAGACCTACATACGCGTGCATGCGCACTGGAAATTGATGTTCGAAAAACGTTGGAGTTTCGCCTATGTAAGAATATTCTGTGGATTACATATATAGCATGTACAATATACATAGTACAATAACCGCAGTTCCATCTACATTCTGCCCTGTCGCCAGATACACTACATACATATGTAGTGAGCTCTGAAGAAAATGTGTAGGTTGGTGTAGTACTGTAGTTGACTGTAGTTGTGCGCACTGCTGGGAGGATAGACGCACAAGTGAACGGGTGATGGCAAGGAGTAGAGGTGATTTTTAGTGATCTTTAACAAATGGCTCTGTCCGAGGTGCACAATTTAGCTGCAATTATCGGCAACAATGGTTTTGCAGTTAACAAGGTAAGCGACGCGACCATCTTTTCACTAACTCCGACTTCATCACTGAAAAAGTGACGTTCATCTTTTCCTACTGTAAAGTACAACGCGATCATTCCAACATAATGCGTAGGAAAAGATGCGATTGTATTGTTTAAGAATTATTATTTAATCGACGAATAAACGAGATACATTATGTATACTTTATCAATGAATTTATTATTCGAACTGTTTATGTCGATACTATAATTAATGAAAATGATCTCATTTAATTAGTTGTTCACGCACAACGGCATTGTACTTATGCATACGTGAGATTTAGATTGAAAATCGTCCGCACTGATATCGGATTGTAACCGACGAAATTGGGTGGATCTGTTCAATTTTGATATTAATATCATGTTACTCCATTATGTGTATAATCACTTAACATTCCTTTGAATAATAAACAATTGTTACAAAAGAAAAAGTGCAAAACAGATTCTAATAAACGAATAAGCATTTGTATCATAAGTAACGTTTTCATCTTGTTAAGAAATAATGCAGTACTTATTATTTAATGTCATTTTATTGTAGAACAACATGGTTGAACGTAACATTAGCATGTTGGAACCACAAAACAATTATCCAGCTGATCGTTGTAACGCAGACTATAACTATTGGAATTATGATTTAATGGAGCGTAATGCACAGAAAAATGTAAGCAATTTATAATTATAAGCTAAGCCTTAAATGCAAGGCAGAATACTTTCAAACTTAAAACATTGCAGGTTATATTTTTATAATGCTTTATAAGTTGCTTATTAGAAGATAATTACATATAATACCTATATATTATATAAATAACATGTAGTACAAATATTAGTGAATAATTACTCATTTTTTTGTGTTCATGGTCACCCTTTCAAGGAATGATTCTGTCAAGCATGTTAAAATAAAATAGATATCAAGGGAGATGTAATTATGCTAGGGGCTCCGTTTTAAATAATTAACAGAAAAATCCACCAATAGCAGAACGTAATTAGTAGGTTCGCGAATAGTGGCGTACCGCGCGAGAAACAGATACGTATGTATTCGAACTTATGATCCAAGGTCGAATATGTCCATTACACACTGTAATTGCTGCGATTGAGCCATCAAAATCAAGACTACAAAACAAATTATAATTACGATCGATTTAACCTGTTAACCGGAGAGTTCATTTTTGAAAAGCGCACTCTATGCGTGTTACGATGAACTTGCAAAAATCAGTTAATCCGTCAAAAAGCGTAAAAATAAATTACAAACTAAAAAATTTTATTTTGCTATTGGATA